GACCTGAGCCGAAGGCAGTCGCTTAACGCCTGAGCCACCCAGGCGCCCCTCTCGTCTTTTTTCTTAAGCCATTCCTGCCTCCAACCTGGGGATAGATGGTCCTCTCCAACCATCACAACCTAGCTAGGTTTCACATGGGCAAGGCACAGAACTGACAGAAGACATTACAGAAATTAAACCCAAACCTGCCCCAGTCTACCTGTGATACATCCTGACTGGTGCCCCATACCCCAACACTGGCTGTGAGCACCACACTTACAGGGTAGTATCTCAGGGGCTCCAAATTCAGCCCTCAAGTGAGTTTTCATTGGGTAAGGCACAGGCTCCTCAATTGACCCACTGACACAACAGGGGTGAGTTTCAAGCAGGTTCTCCAAACAAATGGGACAACTGCCTCAATCCCTGAGGTCTCGTCCCCTCCGAACTGATCCACAGGTCTGTGGCCATGGGGTAGGAAGAGACCCAGGCCCCATTGCTCATACAGATTAATCTATGGATAGAAAAAGGCACATACCATACCCAAGGCACTAGGATTCCTTGTGACAAGGGCAAGGAAGGAAAGAACGGAGTGTCAGGGAAGAGGTGACTTAAACCAAATCTGCAATGAAGAAAGGGGGAAAGTGGTTCAGGGAATGGCAACAGCCAGTGCAAAGGCTCAGAGGTGAGACCAAACCTGGAGGGTCAAGGACAAGGCAGGCAGTGTGCCTGGGCCACAGGAAAAAGGGGTGAGGATATGGGTTTCATTCTGAGTGTAGTGGGAGCCTCAAGAAGGCTCAGGGTGTGGTCTTTCAATGAGCCACACAGCCCTTCCCTACAACCTGGAGGAAAGGTTCCTACCTCCATTTTCCAGGTGCGGAGCCCAAGGATGGTCCAGATCAGAAGAGGCGCCCTCCTTAGCGTAAACCAGAGGGGTTAGGTTTTCTTTCTCAGCTCAGATGTGAACCAGCCAGGACTGGAGGCAAGGCACTTCCCCTCTCTTAGCCTCGGTTTCCTCATCTGCCTATTTGAAGGGGGTTAGGGAAGAGTTGGCACTTAATCCCCAGGGCACCTGAGAACACAAAGCGTGAGTGAGCAGGAGCAGGGAATGGTCAGACCCACAAAATGACCAGCCTCCTTGGGGACTGTGTGGGGCTTGGAGGCAGGTAGGATTAGGGCTTAGGGAGACATCTTCCATGCACCCCAAATGAGAGACAGCCGCTGTCACCAAACCCACTAACCTCATTGCAACAAAATAATCCCCAATCTCCCCCAGGCCCTGTTGGGGTCCCCTCTCCAGACATACACTTCTACCTCTCCACATCTTCTCCCTCCCCCTCCATTCTAGCCATAGGACTTTCGTGGCATTCCCCAAACACACCAGCTTCAATGTATCTTGGGAACACTCAGAACACGTTCCTTCTGCTGTTTCCAGTGGCTGATTCCTTCAGGGTTAAGCTCAAATGTCTGCTTCAGTCCTTCCTTGGTCACCCGCCCCTCCCCTCACCCAGCATTTAGCACAAGTTACAATCATTTTCTTTCCATGCTATTCATTTTTACTTGACTTTTCACTTGTCTCCTCGCTGAGGGCAGGGATGGATCTAAACCTCTTTGTGAAGTCCCACAGCTTGGCACACAGTAGGCGTTCAATAAATGCATGAATGAAGAGAGGACTGAAGTAACCAGCTTGCCCAGCAGACTCATGCCTCACTCTTGACTCTCCCCTGCCCCAGACAACTTCTTTACCAAGGAAGGGCCCTTACTATGGAGAGCTTCCACCACCTCCCCACCCCACTCCAGCCATATCCAGTTTCAAATTCCAGATGTGTTATTGGGCAAGTGTCATTTGTGTGGGCCTCAATTTCCTCATCTATAAACGCTCAGTTTCTGTTGAGACAGGCGGCCCCCCGCCATGCCCCTCACCCCCCCGCTGCTGAATCCTTAAACACGGTGAGGGTGCTGGGATCCCAGCCCCGCATCTCTATTGCCAGGGCCATCACGACCCCGGCACGACCCTTCGAGTTCTCTTGAGGCTGGAGAGCCCAAAAGTCCGGTTTGAATCCTCCCAATTCCCTTTCGAGACCTAGAGCTAGAAGCTTTCTCTACAATGGGGCACCACGCCTGCCTTCCCCCGAGGGACAACCTCCCACCCCTACTTGGTAAAGGGGGCCATTTTTAGAGGCAGCTGCGAGGAAGAGCGAGTTTATTGCAAGTTCCAAGGAGGCAGCGCCCGGAGCGTGCCTTCCCCCACCAGCCTGCGTGGCTGCCTAAAGAAGGACGCCCTCCACACGCGTCCACTCGCTGGCAGCTCCTCCAGGTAGCCAACGCCTGCCTGCAGCCATCGCTCATTCCGCGCTGTCGCAATGCTTCCATTTCTTCTCGTCCCTTCCCCTCCCGAGGCCTTCTCTTGGGGAACAGAGGAAGCGCTTGCACCCTCCCGCTCTCGGGATCGTGGGGAGGGGAGCTAGATTCTAAGCAGGGGCGACTACCGCCCGGGACCTCCAGAGACCGGAAAAAGGGGGGAAGTGCGCGTGCCCAGAGGCGCGTGTCGGCTTCGCGGGGGTACCGAAGCGCGCCTGGCGCGCGTGCACTGCGCTTGCGCAGTGCTCGGGGCGGCGGGAATGGCGGGAACCCCGGCGTCTAGCTGGAGTCCCCAGCACGCAGCCAGCCGTTGCGCGCTACCTGGCCCGCTGAGGGCCTGGCGGACGGGCTGAACTGCAGCAGTTCTGCGATCAGGGCCTTGCAGCGCTCGGACAGCTCGAGGCCATCGGGGTAGAGGACGCCACGCTTCTGGCGCCTGGGCAGACCAGCGATGTCCGAGTCGTCGAAGGGCATGCACCCGGTGACCATGACGTAGAGCACGACGCCCAGGCTCCACACGTCGTACTTCTTGGGGTCGTATGGGATACCCAAGAGTACCTCAGGCGACGCGTAGGCGGCCGAGCCGCAGTAGGTGGTGCTCAGGTCAGGATAGCCGTGTGCCTGGCGACCAAAGCCAAAGTCAGTGAGCTTCACGCGGCGCTCGTCGGGGCTCAACAACACATTTTCGCACTTGAGGTCCCGGTGCACCAAGTGGTGGTCATGCAGGTAACGCACAGCCCCAGCGATCTGCGCGAAGAGGTCACGCGCCTGACCCCCGGGAATGCGCCCGCTGCGCTGCACTGCCTGCAGCAGGTCGGTGGCAGCCGCCTCCATCACGATATAGAGCTTCCCATTGCACACCTCTATGAACTCAAAGACGTGCACAATGTGCGGGTGTCGCACGCCCCGTAGGATGGACAGCTCGCGCGGCAGAAACTTGTTGACGAAGTCGGGCGGCGCGCGCCGCCGGTCCACCACCTTGATGGCCACTGTGCCCTTGTACTTCTTGGACGTGGCCACCTTCACCTTGGAGTAACTGCCCTCGCCTATCGTGCGTCCCAGCTTATAGCCGAGTTCGCTCAGAAGTTTGTCGCCCGACATGGTGGCGCCTGGGGCGCGCGGGGAGCAGGAGGCGGCTGCTGTCGGGGGGCGGCCGGACTCCAATATCGGGCCTAACCCATGGCGCTTGGCACCTGCACACCCGCACCCCCATGTGCCCACTCCCGGGTCCCCGCCGCAGCGGTGCCTTTTATTGCCCAGGTAACAATTTCTGCCTTGTGAAGTGACCACGGGCGTCACCCCGCCTTGGGGTGGGGGCCCCCTGGACCCCGCCCCACAGGGCCCCTAAGGCCATCAGGCTTTATGACTCATAATCGCTCTGAATGGCCCACTTCCCATGAGAGACCCTGGCAAAGGGTCCCGACCACCACTCGGGAGCAGAATCGGTGCCTGGCATTGGGGCGGCTCTTCATGAGTCGAATCTGAGCAGCAGTCGCCCCCCAGCTTCGTGTACCCAGCTCTGGCCATGTGGAGCTTTGGGACGCCCGCACAGCCCCGCGAAGGGGAGAAAACGAGAGAGGGGGCTTAACTCGGTGACCCGGCTCCCTCAGGAGCTTGGGGTCTCTGAATGGCCTCAGCACTGCACCAGAGGGAAGGTGTACGGAGGTGCTTTAGGGCAAGGACCCGGGCGACCGGACAGGCTACAGGCGTCTACACCGACTGAGCCAAGCCCCGTCTAAGAGAAGGAATACGGAGTCCTCGGCTACAGCCTGGCCGCCCAGTCGATCCCTGGACCTATTGCCCAAGCTCTCTTTCGCGATGGGATCGTTACACTAGCGTCCTAGGCGCCCTAGTCCCGCCCAAGACATGCGCGGTCCATTCCGCCACACTCATCATGGCGGCGGCCGCCGGACGTAACTTCCGCTCGCGGCCGGAAGTTGGGGTCCCGCGAGCATGGCAGCATCGAAGGTGAAACAGGACATGCCCCCGCCGGGGGGCTATGGCCCCATCGACTACAAGCGGAACCTTCCGCGTCGGGGACTGTCGGGTCAGTGTCGCACTACGCTGGGGTGTCAGGGTTGGGGCTTCGGGGCGCCGCGACGGGCGGGGGGCGCCGGGGAGTCTCGCGGGCCTCAGTTTCCGCCGCAGTGTGACGGGAGGCGGAGCCCAGGGATTCCCGAGAGCTTCGGTAGTAACGAGGATAACTGCTGGAGTTTGTCGAACGCTTATTAAGCGTTGTTTTCTTCACAGGACAGTCCGGGAGGTTGGTCCCGTTAATTCTTCCCATTCTACAGTTGGTTAGACAGATCAATGTAGCCCGTGCCCCGAGCCCTCAGCCACACTTCCTTTTCACAAGTGGGGAAACTGAGGCCCTGCCCCCAGGGCTACCCAGTGTAAAACTCGTGCTGAAACTGAAACATTGAGGGAATTTAGAAGATGTTCCTCTCTGGTAGTCCCTACCTGCGGATGTCCCAGGAATATGTATTCTTAAATTTTTCAAATGTTTTAAGTAACATTTAAAATTTTGTTATTGGGCTCAACACAAGAAAATGTAAAAGAAAAAAAAAGTAGAAGGGCCACATACTTTGCACCTAGGGTTAACAGAGAAATACAAAATTTTATTTTGTTTTATTTATTTATTTTTAAGATTTTATTTATTTATTTGACAGAGAGAGACACAG